CTTCCGCTAACTAAATATAATGATGTGTCTTACCTGGATTGAAGAGCACCTCCCGCCCTCCCTCAATTACATGCACTAACTCCGTCACCACTAGTCCCAGCACCACTACTCCCAACACCACTACTCCCGGCACCACCACTTCCAACACCACTATTCCAGGTAAGACACACCATCGACGATAATACGACACGTGTTTCGCCTCTACACGAGGCATCCTCAGGTGATGTAGACTCTACGGCGGCTGACCGCTAAGAAGCTTAGGTTCTCTGTTAATAGATGGCGTTAGCGCCATCAACTGTGGCGCGCAACTGTATCAATTAATAAAATAACTCGTAAACAGTTCTACACAGGTTCAACATTTGGCAAATTGCTTACAATTCGAAATACACTGATTCGTGTTCTCCGTCTCAAAGCGAACACGCAATTCATGTCAATTTATTCGTCTCTCTCGCACCCGTGGGATTTTCACCGGACTTTCAAGAATCGCTTTCGACGATCGCTCCCTTTCTAACCTGTGGCAAAATGTTCTATAATGAAATATAATTACGATTATTTACATAACAATTTAATATAGAGCGTTAAGCCGGGCTTTTGGAATGAAGTTGATCAAAGTTAAGCACGTGCGATACGTTTGCACGTTCACTTCACATTTCAATGTTTAGTGTTTTTACTCTGTGTAGCTGTATAGCTTGAGCGCGTGAATATTGCGAGTTATAAATTTTAATTTTGTACATAGTTTGTTTGTACTTTGTTCATGCTTTTCTTTTATTCATGTATTGTATTGTATGTAAATATCTTTTGCTCTATTTCTTTCGCTCAAGCAAACCCAAACGGCTTTTTGCAAAGCCACCGAAGGTGACAATTGCTGATATGTCATACAAACTATCTAGCACGCTTTTTGTGTGCTTTCTTTGGTTTTGATTGTTTTCACCAGACCTTTATAGTCTTCTGAGGTATTAAAATCGGATTCTCTGATTATCACAACACAGTAGTCATGTTTTGTATAGTCCTTTAATTTTTTATGTATATTTTTTAAAATTATCTCTATCCCAGAATTTGTAGTAATAAAGTGACATAACTCATACTTACTTAGAACATGATTTCTGTTTACATTTTGTGGTATTTTATGTCTCTTGTCACTTGTGAGTATATAAAATTTGTGTTTTAATGGTTTATGTAATGATCTAGTATCTTTATCTACATGAATTTTTGTGCAATTATTAATTTCTGAATCATTTTTGGTGTTGTTTTGTCTTTCAATTGCTTTTCTAAGCTTTCGATTTTTGTACATAGATTTCTTATTGCTTCTTGAGCTAATTTCAGGTTTTGTTGTAATTTTGCGATTGTATTTACCAAAACAAAAATTTGCTCTGCCTTTTTCTTATCTGGAGTCATGTTATTAACAAAGCAAGTGGATAAACTCTTGCGCTATTTTTTTACAATTTTTTTTAAAGAATATTAACAATGCTATAAACATTACCTTAACCACTCGTGGTAAGCTTAAATTGCTTGTGTTACGAGTGATTCACGCCAGTAGTCGAATGGCGGATTCGAATCCACGACCTTTTTGAGTTCGCTGTCCGCGCCCTGCCATTAGGCTACTGTCGTTTAATTTGTGGGGTTTTACATATATTTTTCATAATAAGTAGCTCTTGTGTCAATTTGGTGACTTGTCGTCTTAATTCATTATTTCCCAAAATTGTACCGTCTAATTCAGACTCGCAACTCTTTAATTTAATTTGTAAGTCATCTATTTTCATATTTTGTTTGCTCACAATATCAAGTTCATTTACTAATTCTGAACTGTGTGATAAATCTTCTAAGGATTAGAAACTATTTTTAAATGATTCAACAGGCAATTCCATGGATAGTGATTTTGCTAATAATTTATCTTTAGGTATGGCCAGTTTTTGGTGAGCTGTTTGGAGAGTCAAAAGCATTCATATCGTTACTTTCAAATGTTTCATCAGTCCTTCTTTTACGTACTGTGATATTCACAATATCTTTTTCTAGGGATGGAGAGAGGACTGCATTTTTTTTTAGTTTTTATGTATTTATTACATCTCCATGATTTTTAAGTCTCATTTGTGAACGGCAGATTCGCGAAGGTATGCCCTAGGGCCCTAGGCGAAAGTTTATCGACCAAGTCATTAACATAATCCTCTGACGAGCATGTATGCGTAGCAGTATAGATGTAAAGGAAGCGAGACAGGTATGTCTGGATTGCGTTAAATGGAAGTCCGTAGTCACTGTCTACCCCTCTGGGTGACAGACGTGAGTGTTTATGTGTATGTGTAGTCTGTAGTAGTATAAAACCTAACCCATAATAAATAATTTTTGCCTTATAAATTTAGACATTTTGATAGATAGGTTCTGCATATTTTCTGAGACTTTGTTGAGATGTGTATATTATTGCCCCATAAGGGAATCACCGACTCTTTGGAGTCGAGTAACTGGTATAACAAGCATCATAGCCTTGCGTTGACTATATTGAAAGATTATCGATTCATATTTATCGATATAATTTGTTTTCAAAGGGTTATCACAAATTGACTCACGCGACGAATTCCAACCTCTGGAGTAAGCCGATACCATTTATCACATTGACATACGTTAGGGCACACTGAAATGATCGGGAATAGAATATTTCGGATTGAGTTACAATAAAACCTTTTTTAGAATTTGAATACTGGCCTCTTAGAAACTCAATCACATTCAAACAATTAAAAAAAGTTTAAAAACAAAAAATATGTTGGTTTAAAGTTGACACGTCGTTAACAGAAATGGAGCTCACGCGTGAACATTTCCGTGCCATAATATATCACAATTTTCGTCGCGGCTTATCTCAAGATAAATGTCTCAGCGAACTTGTTTCGATTTTTGATGTTGAAGCACCGAGTCAAAGGACAATATACCGCTAGTATGCCGAGTTCCGACGTTGTCGTGTGTCGCTCAGCACTGTTACTTCAACAGTAGCTAGAACAACGGTCACGTCTGAAAACGTCGCAGCTGTGCGAACTATTATATATTAGATGACCGTCATGTGACATACGAGCAGATTCGGTCTGTTATCAGTATCGGAATGACTGCAATTCAGTCGATACTACATAATGAACTGTGTGTAAGAAAGCTAGTTTCCCACTGGGTTTCCCACAATATGTCCGAAGACCAAAATGCGGCTCGTGTAGATTGGTGCCGGAATACTCTGCAACGCTTCAACGGAGGGAAGTCAAATGCCGTTTATAATATCGTCTCAGGTGACGAATCATGAATTTATTCATACGAACCTGAAAGAAAACATCAGTCAGCAGTTTGGGTCTTCAAAGACGAGGTCAAACCAACGAAAGTGGTTCGCTCCCGCAGCGTGTCAAAGAAAATTATCGCTACGTTTGTCTCGAAAAAGGGGTATGTTGCTACAATTCCTTTACAGGGACGCAGAACGGTTACGGTTAGTGGTATATCACAGTTTATTTGCCAGAAATCATAGCCGAACTCCGAAAAAATAACCCGGTGTTTCTTATTCCCGATCATTTCAGTGTGCCCCTCGTAGTAAGGTACATTCTAATAATGTACTCATCCTCGCCTAACCGCAGTTCTTAAACAACAAAGTAATCAACATAATCCTCTGACAAACAAATTTTCTCGTGATTATCATGACTGCGTGAAAAATATCGATAGCTGTAGAAATAGAAAATATTCCAAAAACGAAATTTGATACATAGGTACTTGACCAAGGTAAAGCGTTATTATTCTTATAATTACAGATTTTCATTACAACATATTGTTTCGCTAAAAGTACGTAGGATTTATATATAAATATACTTAAACGTCTTGGACTTTATGGAGTGACCTGACTACCTGACTACTAACTCACTAAAATACCGTAAGGCGCGGTAGCTCTCTCTTTAACTCAAAAGCCCAATCTATGGAGTTTATCATGAAGGTTAGAAAACAGGAGAACGATCGCCGTAGAAAATAGTGTCCCAGAAATATGGACACCATCAGTGAGGCGCTGTGATCACTAAGTGCAGTCAATAAAAGTCATTTTCAGTCTATTTTTCCGATCAGATGCTCAACCACTTGCACATCCACGCATAATAAAATATTTCTCCATTTTTTAATGTTTCTTTTTGTCAAAAATTACAAAATTACGGAGCATGAAAATTTTCTACGAAAAAATGAAACGAAAATTTGTACATTATTCAACTCGTAGACGGAGAAACCTATAGACTAATGATCGGCGTGGCCTTGGGTGAGAAAGAACGATAACGAATTTTTAGGTTATAGAATAATCTTTATGACTTTTAAACACATTTAGATAAAAAAAATTCATTGTTCTAAGAACTGAACTTAACAAGATTCACCAATCTTAAGCTCACAAAACACTTTTTCTCACTTAAACCAACTTGTAAACTCCTTATACCGCTATGCTGTCAAAGTTGTTTAGCAAACTCTGCAGTTTGCTAAACAAAAAACCGGCACGGAGAAAGGGACAAACAATCACACAGCTCTATCTCATTTCTATGCGAGACGTATGCATAATTCTATCTTTTTCGTGTGCGAATGCGAAAGAAGGCGTCAATTTGTCTATAGGTTTCTCTGTCTACGATTCAACTAACTTCAGCTGCTTGTACTCATAAACAGCTAACTTCGCAGTCACTACTCACCGACGCCAGCGCCGCTATGTATTCTACAATTTTCAAGGACAGGCGGGCTATGCTTTAGTACGTAGTGATCGTTGTCGTTCTCCTGTTCTCTAATCTTCATGGAGTTTATACTATATCTATGGTTAGAATTAACTAGCATTAATAAATTGAATGCAACGTTAATTTTGGCGGGAAACTGTTATCTTGAAATGACAATTGCTTGTGATGGGATTCTTCGAGTCTGTCAATTTTATTGAGCGAGTAACAGGTGTTTATATTTTTCTACTAGAAATGTTGATTTTAAAACTTTAAAATGATTTCCTGAATGATCTTTATATTCTTCTTTGATTCAAAATGTTTGTAGAGGACATAAGAAATGATTTCTATAATACACTTCTAGGCAACGTAAGTGTGATATTAAAAAAAATAACAACATAAAACACAGTAAATTTGTTTTGACCAAATTTGTTATGTTTTAGAGAGTTCTGCTGCTGGTGCATTACGACGTCGATGCAATTTGCGCTTGTAAAATACTACAAGGTCTGTTTAAATGTGATAATATATCATATACATTGGTGCCAGTGGGGGGTATATCTGAGCTTAAAACTGCTTATGAAGAAAACAATGAAGAAATCAAATATGTGGTGTTAATAAACTGTGGTGGTACAATTGATCTAGTGGATATCTTGCAACCCGATGAAGAAGTAGTGTTTTTTGTTCTAGACTCTCATAAACCAACTGATATTTGCAATGTCTACAGTGATGGACAGGTAAGTGATTATTTTATATAACTACTCCGTTTACCAGATTGTGTTGTTTTTTATATTTAAAGTACAAATTTTTCTTATATTTTGTAAGACTATTGGATGTAATAATGTTTATTGTCTAAATACCGTCCAAACCTGTATGCGGCTTATGCTTACTCACAAATAAGTGTGTGTTCTTAAAAAGGCAGTGGATTATGAAATTCTAACATGAGAAGAAGTAATTGTATGATGTAACTGGTTGAAGAGCAATTAAAAAATTAAAGAGTAAATGAACTTATTTACTAAGTTTTATGGATGAACAACAAAGATTATATCTTAGGAATTTTGGGTAAAAATAAAAAAGAAAAACAAACAAAATTAACTCAAATGTAAATCTTCTTAATTGGTAGGTGTTCTTGATTAGTTGATTGGTAGGTATAATCTGCATTTCAAGTCTAGGGATTGCCTTAATGAAAGCCCACCTCAGATAGGAGACAGTCCAATAAAGAAAATCAGCCTCCTCCTTACCAATCTTAAGTACTTTACTAATAATACTACCACTGCTAACTGCTGTTGTCATCCAGAGGAGTAGGCAGAGACTACAGACTTCCATTTAGCATGATCCTGACACCTCTCGCCTTATCCATATACCTATGAGTACATCCTTCTTCATATCTATATACCTATGCGTACATGCTTGTTGGTTAAGGGTACTTTTAATTTGGCCCATTTTCAATATATCACCAATGATAAATGATAAACTTTCGCCTGGGGCATCCTTTGCTGTTCACTTCTGCAACATAAATTTGCTTTGTCACTCTTTCCCCATTCATCTTTTTATATGACCAAACCACTGCAGAATTCCTTTCTTAATCCTGGTCTACAACATTAGCTTGCAAATCACATTGTTCTCCTATCACACAATTTCTCACACTGTCATTCAGATTTACGCCTGAAACATAATTAATCAGTTACGAAAATAATAAAAACAAAAGGTTAGCTTACAGCCGATTAAAAGTCGACTGCTGAACATAGGCCTCCCCTTGGATTTCCTCATAAGGGGATATTTACCAAGGTAACCACACTTGGCATGCGGGTTGGCAACTGCATTTTGTTATTTTTATTTGGCTGTTATCACAAAAAGAGGCTGATGTCATCTCCTATTTCAGTTTCTCTCTATTGCCTCTTATGACACCCATGGCATGATAGGGGATAGTGGATATTGTTACACCACATATGCATAAGACATGTCTTATGCATGCAGTGAGTTTGTTTTGCATAACCACTCATGCGTCCAAGCTGCGCGAGTGACACGCGCCCCACCTGTCCGCGTATTAAATGTCTCTTTTTTATTACTACCGTGCAAGACGCACTCAACAAAAACGATTACTTCTGTAAAACTACTATAGCTACATTCAAATAAAAAATATTCACGAAAAGCTCAAAAAAATCAGAATTTCATTTTGTTAAAACAAAATTGGTCAAAATAAAAATAAAGGATGAAAATAAAGCTTAAAGTTGGGAATATCAAAAAAATTATAGTATTTATTTTTTATTTTGAGTTTTACAAGAAAAGTATAATAGTTACTGGAGACTATTATTTTATATTATAATAGTATATGACATACCCTTTAAAATAAGTCCAATATCTCAATATTATTTATTCAGTATAGATAAATATATAACATTTACTCAATATAAATATTCACTCCCCGACACAATCATGAATTGCATGAGTTGCATTTTAATAATTTCTAGACACATCTCAACATATATATAAATGGCTATTATCTTATTTTATATTTAGCATTTATTTAACAAAAACAACCGATTAAGCTTTATTGATTTGAATATAATAAGATTTCCGGGTTTCCTATCTACCACCTTTTATGCCCAGCATGTGCACTCATGTGTTAAACAAGTTGAGAAAACGCAACCAACTGCATCATTTATATCGCGTCATCGCTCCCGCCCTTGTGTGATTTAGATATTGAATTATACAAGCATATAGTAAAAAGTATAGACATATGGAATAATGCTATATTTCGTGATTACCTGTGAAGTTTATAAGAGTGAAGAAAGCCGGCAGCCATCGAGATCAACTACTAATTTTTGGTTTGGCATTTTGGTTTTGGCCAAACTGCTGGTTTAAATCTATTAAATAATTTTATGAGGTGTGGCTATTAAATTATATTGAGTAGTGGACTGTACATTTAGCGCGGTGCGAGCGGTGAAAGGAATTTAATTTATTCGTGGTACTGCAAATGCCCTAAATTCGGGATATAGGAAGGATGTGAAGGAATGTATGGGCACCCATGTGGACTTCCGCTGATCTGTCTCGTGTCTATAGCTACCGGTTTTCTTCACAATTATAAACTTTACAGATAATCACGAAATATAGTGCCATTGTACAGATAAAATTCACAGTATTATTAACATCGGTTTTTATTGCTGTACACATTTAAAGCGAACTATGTTGTTCGGGGACTGTAGTCACCATGGACAATTGACGGAAGAATTTTTTGGGGACTACAGTCACCATGGACGCTTGAGTGAATAATAAGCATCTGGATTAGGGATGGTGATTTTTTCCAAAAAAAGATCGATTTTTAAATCAATCCAAATAAAAATCTGATGTATCAACTCAAAAAAAATTGGAGATCTAAAAGATTGATTGATTTCAAAGTTTATATTTACAATACCAAAAGATACAACAAAATACAGATTACAAACATAATTAATTTTTTATTTCTTTATTCCATTAAGAAACTGAGCACACAGCAGTTTTGCGAGTTTTTGAACAGAAAACCTGTCATTATTTACGAGTTTGGGTACATTTAACTAATTGTAAAAAATGTTATTATAGTTCTTATAAGAACAAAAAGATTCAATCTCGAGTTTCTAGGGTGAAATATTGATTCACTGGTTCGATTCAGCACTATATATTGATGAAAAAATTAATCTTTTTGTCGCAAGAAATAGATTCTTCAATTAATCGATCTCAGATCGTCATGCCTAATATGAATCATGATCCGACATTATAAAAAGTAGTTTATATTAGTCTCAGGTTTAAACTGGAATCCATTTCAGTAAAGAAGTCCTGTGGAAAATATACAAACTAAAATGTAAAGTATAGAAATTGACAACAAATGTCATATTTCATGAAGACTGTGTCACCGCAGCTAAAAGACTTCTTTAATGACAAATAATTCTTTAAACGAAAACAAAAACTACATTTGTATGCATGGTTTTGCAAATCCTTAATGCACAAATGTAAAACTCATTTGGGAAGTAACATACTTAGCCCAAAAGAAGTGAAATTGCTCACAGTTAAACTATAGGGTTTAGGCAGTGATACTGGTCTTATTAGACCTGCATAGCTGCTCTCACTTAATTTTCTATTGTCTTTTCAGTTCACTAAAATGTAAACTTTGCTAGGTCTAAGCTAAGCAGTAAACTTTCACAGGTTTTTTAATTCATTTAAAACATACAAGTATCCCACCTGTAATACTTGAGAGGGTAGGCAGAGTCCGAAGGGCAGTAGGCTACCTTAAGTTTAGCAAAAATAAGTGCTTAAATGCAAAATAGTGAAAAGAAATGATAGGATGTTAGCTCACCGCCTTTTACAATATATTTTGGCAAATAACACAGTTGGCACATTCTTTTTTGTTATCTCTCACATTGCTACCTATAAGTCTCAACCAACTACCTACATGGGACATTGTTTTAATATATTTTTAAAGATGTCCATGGCCACCATAGGCATTATCACCTCTTTATTATACTGACTTGCGTACTATTCTCATTGGAACAAAATCAGTGGCTTGGCATTAGGGTTTGGGAATTCCCGACAATTTCAAAGTCCCGGGATATGAGACAGCCTACATTCAAAGTACCGGGAATCACGAGACAGACTTCGAGACTTTTAAGAATTTTTTTAAAGAGGAGTAAGCCTTTTTTGAAGAATTTAACAGAGTTAATTTCCAATGAAACATATTACAAAAAGGCAATTTCTTTGTAAAAATCAACATTTATTAAACAGAAAATTAAATCTGATTAACTTTAATGTTAACTTTAGTCTTAATATTTGCTTTGTTTATTTGATTTAATCACACACACATTCACTTTTAAGCAGTTAAATCTAATAATTATAAAACGAACTTAGTTGAAAATCCTACTAATTCTTAATAACTTTATTGTTTTCTAGTAATTCTAGTATCTACTCTTTGGTCACAATCACAACATTGTTAAATCTCATAATCACAGATTTGTTTCATAATTAAATAATCTAAATATAATAATAAACCACACTTATAAATCAGTCTTTTAAATAATCAACTAATGCATTAATTAGATTTCTTTGCTGATTTAATAAAATAAGCTTTTAAAAAAATCAGAGCGTTAACAGCTTTGTCTGACACAATCTATTTCTGATTTCTTCTTCTTTCTTTCTTTTTTTATGGCGGTTTTTGATTATTCGCCAATGTCAGCGTGGAAGTGTTTATTGAGTACAAGCTCAGTAGTTACAAATACTATGCCCATGAACTAAAGAAGATTGTGATAATACAAGTGTCTTGTTTTATTTAAACAATTAAATTTTCCTTTTTATCTTATAATACTAGTGGTTGTACTGTTGAATTACCTAGGACAAATGACAAACACAGTTGCTATAACTACTTTAGTATATTAGTATTGACAAACATTAAACTTTTATACTATTAGAGTTAATAAAATCACACAGAATATATAAGAATATAGGAGTGTTTGTGTAGGTTAAAAGTGAATCAAAATTTATAGGACGAGGGATGTCAGGAGGGAGGTGATCATAGAGTGAAGAAGATAATTTAGGACAGTTAAAAAAAATATGGTCAGAAGTTCCCTCATCTAACCCACATTCGCAGAGGGAACTGTCCCTAATCCTCAGTTTGGCTAAATGTACTGGTGTACAAGCATGGCCAATTCGAAGTCTACAGATAGTTGATGTTGACTGTTTGTTAGCTTTATTAAATTTGAAAAACCATGGTTTTGGAGGAATGGCACCTTGTATAGCAGCATAGTGTTTACCTTTTATATTTTGAGTGGCTTTCCATAATGTATTCCAATTATTATTTAACTTCTTCTTTGCAAGTAACACTATGTCTGAAGAGTAAACTAAATTACATGGCAAACCATTTCGACTTGCATTTTTAGCCATCAGATCAGCTGTTTCATTGCCCTTGATGCCACTATGACCTGGAATCCAAGCTAAGGAAACCTGAATACCCTTGAGATGACATGTATACAATGTGTGTTTAATTTTGAGGATCAAGGGTATCTTATATTTACTTTGGAACTGGTTTAACAAAATTGCTAACAAACAGCTTTTTGGAGTCAGTAAGAATAACTGACTTATTTAGGTTGTGTGCTTCTATATAAATTAAAGCTTCATAAATTGCCGTGGCCTCGCCAGTAAAAGTGGAAGAAATAAGAAGCATTTAAAATTGAGGATTATTTTGTATCTGGGAATCCAAACGGCTGCTCCAGTGCAACTTTCACCTAACTTTTTGGAGGCATCAGTGTATATAATAAGCCAGCCTTTCCATAAGTTATCTATGACTCTACTTAGTTTACTATTTGCTATAGGGCAATCTTTCTCAATACCAAGGTCGAGGTGGATATTTGGTTGATAAATAATTGCATCATATGGGATATCAAAGATGGGACAGGACTTGCATTGTGATACTGGGTGTGGTAGATGGAGTAATGTTACCAAACTGTTGGATAAGCAGGGAGATTCTTTATGAGTCCAGTAATGCTTTGATGAAATATATTCCAAAAGAAGGTGTAATTTAGAAATGAGCGGGTGGGAAGAGAGTTGGTAGATTTTAAAAAAAGAATCGGTCCGAAAGATATTGTCTTCTTAGGTAAAGAGGGGGGATCTACACATTCGACTTGGAGAGCATTTATTGGGGAAGATTTCATTGACCCAATGATTATACGAAGGCTTTTGGCCTGAATCCTATCTAGATTCTTTAGGGAAGAATTATTACAGGGTTCCAAGACAAAGCACCCATAATCCAAATGACTACGAATAAGGGCATTGTACAATAATTTTTGAGAGAATGGGTGGGAGCCCCACCAAACTCCCGATAAAGCTCGAAGAATATTTATATTTTTTTCACATTTTTTGGAAACATAGTTGATATGATGGGAAAAGGCTAGTTTGGAGTCAAGAATAACTCCCAAAAATTTTACATTCTCCCTAATTGGGATAGGTTCATTATTATAGAGAATGTTGATTTCAGGGAGTTGCCTATGGCGAGAGAAGATCACAACACTGCTTTTGGGAACAGCCAAAGACAAACCATGATCAGTTAACCAATCATGTAAATAGGACATTGATAAATTCAAGCGGGAACAAGCTGCAGGGAGGTTATCCAAGGAAATATATATAGCTATATCGTCTGCATATTGGAGGATGTTACAGAATGAGTTAATAGAAAGCTCTAGATCATAAGTATAGATAGAATAGAGCAAAGGACTAAGTACTGAGCCTTGTGGGAGACCTTTACATACTATTCTTGGTGGGAGTAGAGAATGTTGACTATCAATATAAATGGATCTAGAAGAGAGAAAGTTAGAGACAAAATTTACTATCCTCACTGGAATACTCAGATTGAGCATTTTTTGCCTGAGCATAGGAAGAAGTACATTGTCATATGCAGACGCGATATCTAGGAAGACTCCAACAAGGTATTCATGTTTAGAGTAAGCTAAACGAATATCAGTAACTAGAGTACTAAGGCTATCCATGGTGCTTAAGCCCTTTCGGAATCCAAATTGGCTTGTTGCTAGAAGGCGTTTGCTTTCAAGAAACCATTCTAAACGATTTTTTATTAGGTGTTCAAGGATTTTGGCTATGGTACAAGAAAGAGCGATAGGGCGGTAGCTTGAGGGATCAGTGTAAGGCTTACCTGGTTTGTAAATAGGTAAAATAACTTGGGATTTCCATTCTTCTGGAGGAATACCAGACATGTAAATACAATTCAAAATAGAAAGAAGATGGACTTTAATAGGTTCACTGCTATTAGTAATAAAAGAATAAGGAATTCCATCAATTCCTGGTGAAGAGTCTTTAAGGACACTAAGAACAGCATATAACTCCTCATAAGAGAAAGGGGCGTCAAAACTGTGTTGATAGTGCAAGGACTGTGATTGAAATGCTATACATTCATTGTAAGATGGTACTGAAGGAGGAGCAAGATTACTAGCAAAATTTTCTAGCCAATAAGACTGATCATTAGAAATTGTGTTTTCAGAGGTCAAAACTGAACATCGGAATTTTTTTATATTTTTCCAGACTAATGATGGATGGGTCCTAGGCGACAGTGACTCACAGAATTTAAGCCATCCAGCCTTTTTCTTCCCGGATAATAATTTTAATGTTTCAGCAGCAGTTTTTTTATAAAAAATATAGTTGTCAAAATTCATAGAGTGGGAATATCTTACTTCGGCTTCCTTTCTCTTCTTACATGCTACAGAACAATTGATCCACCAAGTGGTGAAGGGGCATTATTTTTATAAGGTTTTTTGATGGGAATTGTCTTATTGGCAGCAGATAAAATAGCGTTTTTAAAAGAAGCATACACCTGGAGAACATTATCTTTCTGAACAGGAGGAAGGGCTGAAAGTTCTTCCTCTTGGAATATAGTTGCCAGTTTGCTTTGGAAGTGTTATATTTTAACCTAGGATTGAATGGAACATTGACTGTATAGGAGCTAGGGGGATTGATAACAATAGGGAAATGATCACTGCCATGGGAAAAGGGTAATATTCTCCAAGAAAGAAGGGACGACAGAGCAGGAGAACAGAGTGACAGATCTACTGCACTTTTAGGATTTTGGAGGGGGGATACTCTACGTGTAGGTGAACCATCGTTAAGGAGGCAGAGATCTAAATCATCAATGATGTCTAAAAATGTAGAAGACCAGGGATCGCAAAAATGGGAGCCCCATAAAGTATGGTGCATATTAAAATCACCAAGAATTACCATAGGAGGCGGGATGGAGGATATGATCCTCGTAAGTTCTGATAAAACATTTAAACTAGGTTCGGGAATGTAAATAGAAAGAAAAGAAGTGTTATGAGCTCTAACTGCTACAACATTAATTGAAGGACTATGAGAAGGGAGGGAAATTAATGTATAAGTAATTGATTTTGAGATAAGAATGAAAGAGCCAGCATGACCATCATTCCTATCATTCCTGGGCATGAATAACCGGAAATCCTAAAATGGGACCCAGGCTTAAGCCATGTCTCTTGAATGGCTAGGATGAGGGGATGGTATTTATTAATAAAGTAAATTAATTCATTTTTTTTATTATTAAATTTTTCTGATTTTTGTAATTATGTCACCGGACAAGAAGAATACTCTCCAGATGTCGGTTTAACTGTGTTTAAGGCTTATACAGTAGTTCCAAATTTTCTGTACGTTTTCCGGTTGCTTCAAACAACTGAAACTCCTTTTTTAATGTTGCCCTTTTTTTTCAGAATTTCAGGTACATTTTCTTGAATATTTTTTATTGCTTGTTCCATTTGATTTACAAAATACTCGTCAAGCTCGTTGTGTACTTGAGAGCTACTATAGTACTAGGTTTAGCGCCCACTATTTCTACATCTAGTGTCCGGATACTAGGCATATTTTCAAAAAGTCTATAAAGGCTTTTCAAAAATATTCCCATTTAAGTAAGTAGTGAAGCGTTTTGTCGGTATATAGCTTCGACGGCTATCTTGACTGGTTGCAACAAATCAACAATTGACTACAAAAGAAGAAGATTGTCTTCATTCCAACTGTCTAACATCAACCATCAACGCTTTCTTCACACAATTGTTTAGCTTCAAAAACCGTTTCGCCATCACAATGATGGAATTCCACTTTGTTTTAACATCCAGTGTTAAACTAAGTTCAAAAGAAGCACCACACCACACTCACATCATAAATATCACGGAACAACTAAACGCATTTATTGTTGTGTGCTCAGTAGTTACGTAGTATACCAAGTAATTATTCATTAAACTAACAAATGGCTCTAGGCTCCTTCAATTATTTGAAAATAAAAATGATTACATAACAATTTCGACAATCTTGGCTGGTCTCAACTCTCGACCTTAAAGTCCCGGGACTCGAGACAACTAAAATTACGAAAAGTCCCGGGACTTCAAGACACAAGATGTCCCGGGACCCAAACCCTACTTGGCATGTAGGTAAAATGGTGGTATATTAAAGAAATAATCCCTATTTTGCTTTTAGGTCAGGTTAGTGTATAAGGACGAGGAGGAAAACATTCCAAACTTTGATGATATATTTAGAGATGACGATGAAGATGAAGAGGTAAGTTTTGTCTCAATTCCGCTAAAACTTTTTCTCTGATAATTTTACAGCCCTAAGAGAATATTCAGTTTGCACATAATTTAAAAAACCAGCTTTGAACAATAACTTGCTGTCATTCTGTGCTTAAAACACTTACTATATACTGAAAAAGACAAGCACAGATTAGACTGATTATACTTATAAAAAAGTGATGAAATTGTCATTCCATATACCCTGTTTTTATATTTTTCTTTAATATTTTAATTTCATTGCGTTTGCTCGATGTCGACTATTACATAGTGGTTATGACTGGGTAGTTTTAGTATATTATTAAGGTTCTAGTTTTTGAAATTTTTAATTATTGTAAAAAAAACAAAACATGGTAGTGAGAGATATAGAATGTATTGTATAAAAATATTTGCTCTCATTTTGCATGAAGGAAACAGAGAAATATGTTAATGCCGTCCAGTTAATAACATTTTTAACTCTATATTCACATCAATGAGGGTATCCATGACTTTCTCTGCCACCAGGGCGGTGCTACATAAAAATGAGGTATAATATTTTTGACAAATTTCACAGCGGGGAAGTAAATTTGTTAGAAAAATGTAAAAGTTAATTTTCCTTTCTATAGGTACTATTAGTTATATTTTATATTAATTAGATTAAAAATAAATAAATAAAAACCAAAATTTTATAAAAGTAGAAAAAATTAAAAATGCGCAAAAAATTAAAGAGCAAACCACTGAGGCATTGTTTTGTGCATTAATGTAATACTATAGAAGCTGATAAACCTTTACGTAAAACTAATTTCTTAATTAAATGACATTGTGGCATTACTTGGGGGAGGCCTATGTTCAGCAGTGGACTTGTGAAGGGCTGTAATGATGATGATAATGATGTGTAATATAAAAACTTAACTTTGAGTGTCAACTAGCAGCAACAGTTCATAATCTGTCATCAATCTCATTGTACCACTCATCTATCATATCATTATTCCATTACAACCTATAAAAGTCCAATGCTGAACATAGGTCTCTCCCATAGATTGCTTCATAGGAGGTATTTTTACCATACATGCCATGCTCGGCAGGGGGTTGGCAACCACAGTGTTTTTATTAATTTGATAATATAATATTACTAAACTCACTGGACGATGTAGTGGATATTCTTACTCAGCCACTGCACATTATACATAATATGTATAATATAACTATACTGATATTAAAAGTTCTATGCTAATAATGACTTTATATAAATAAATTATATTTATAAACCTTGTTTAATATATTTATTTATTTATTTATGCTTTATTTGCACACCGAGTACAAAAAAGGCGGACTTAATGCAACAAGGCATTCTCTGCCAGTCTACCTCCAGGCTAAGCAGAGAAGATATTGTGGGTGCAAAGTGCTACTGAGTTAAAACATTTAAGTAGACATACACATTAAATATTGCATTACATGTTATAAACATACGTATTATTACATAAAATATATATATATATATATACATATATAACAACACATACATACACACATACATACACACACACATACATATATATATACACACATATACACATACATATATACATACATATACATATATAAGTACAATATATAGCTGTTTCTGATTCAAACACCTATGAAATATTTGAAATAAAAACAGGATAAGGGAACAGTTAGAATTTAAGAATATAAAAAAAAAATATTAATCGACAAACTACTCCTGCAACGCCAGAAAATGATTCCATAGCAAGCGTTTGAACGATGCTTTGCTCGTGGCTGCACGTACACTGCTCGGTAGCTCGTTCCACAATCTTACCGCGTGAGACGTAAAAGATTTATACAAGAACAAAGGGACATGGAGATTAGACTTTTCCGTAGAACGGAGACAACAATTATGAGAATCACCCTGATACTGAAATTTACATTTCAGATATTCAGGGACAAATGAAAATCTTTATTAATATATTATATTAATAAAGATTTTCATTCCACTGTGAATAGAATATTTTTTTATTCAATATAGATTACAAGTAATTCTTAGTGAAAGTCAATATTTTACGTTACCACTGGTTCGAAAAAAAACCTCTGTTCTGGGAAGAAATATTTTACGTTACCACTGGTTCGAAAAAACCTCTATCCTCTGGGAAGAACCAGCAAGAAACCCAGCGGGACTTTTTTTTTAAAATAAATTAATGTCAAGGATCACAAAATATTTACAAAATTTAGTTTAGAAACAGCTTGGAAGCGACCACCTCATTCCCAGGGGTTATTATCAACCATGTATTCATTTATATCATAATAACCAATTTTATACAGTTTTTGTTTAATTAAATATTTAAACTTAGTAATAGAGAGACCTTTTATATTTTCTGGGACTTTGTTGTAATAGCGTATACATTGCCCCAAGAATGAATTACTGACTCTGTGGAATCGAGAAACTGGTAGCACATATCAATCACTATAATTTTATTATAAAAACGTGTTCACGAATGTTACAACTCCAATTATTCTCGTAGGTATCATGCAAAGTAACTATGAGAAATTCCAAAAAAATCGTTAAATTGATTAAAACTACTTTCACGGATTTTATCGCGTTTATTTTACTATTATTTTTAATTCCCGACGTTTCGGGCGCTTTCCAGCACCCATGGTCACGGGGGACTGAGATGACTGACGTCCCGATGTCATTGTTAAACCCGGAGTACCTTACATTAATTAACAATAATTAAAAAAAAAGCTGAAGGTACTCCGAAAAAAAAATAATAGTAAAATAAACGCGATAAAATCCGTAAAAGTAGTTTTAATCAATGTGTAGTGTTCGCGTAAATATAAGAAATCATTATAAAATCTTTAAAATCGCGTAAAAATTTTCGTTTACGCTTATGAGATTTGACTAACTCTACAAGCTAAATAGTTTAAAGATATGGACGCTATGTTAGGGTACCAGTGGGAAACGTTGCATGGGCCAGCCATTCGATTATTTTTTTCAAATCTGCATTTCGATCTTTATGAGCTGCTGTAAAGTTACTGCTTCCTTGAAGTTTCGTTTTTGTGTATTTCTATATGGTTTTCTAAAAGGAAAAGGCTCTTTAAATAAGGCCTGTCATAAAAAACGGATGAGGATTAATATATCTTATTTCAGAATGAAGAAGTAGAAAGTGCGCGGGAAGGTATAGAAGCTGTGGTAGAACGTAGACGCGCTCGCAAAGCTTGGGAAGAGCGAAGACATACCCTCATGTTCAATTACACACAGTTCTCTTACTATGGAAAGCCGGTTAGTGAGATTTATTGAAAATATTCATTAACTTTTTATAATAATTATCTAAAGACCTCCTAATTTACTTCGTTTTGTGTATATTGAACAGCTCCATAATATCACATGGAGCGTAAACCGTTCCCGGGCTGAACACTGCTTAGTGACATTTTCCATTTTCCTTCACATGCTATTATTATTCAAATATACATATACGTACACACATACATTCATATAAACATAGTACATACAGGTCAAGCTTAATAGAGTGTTAAAAACAAAATAATGCGTTACCTTTCAGAGTGCGTGTGTGCTGTTAGAACTGGCGGCTCGTGCGTCGCGGCTGTCTCAGGCGGTTCTGTGGGCAAGTGCGGTGGCCACTGCAGCACATTCAGCGCTTCACGCGCGATCTCCTGCCCGTTGCCTGCTGGATGCTGAAGCGCTGCATCGCTACGTAGCCGCGGCGCAGCGCCACGATGACTCCGCAGCAAACCGGGTAAGTTGCAGTGCTGTTTGGCCGCCGCAGCGCTTGCACCGCTGAACACGTACGCTTCTGGCCGCCGCACAACGCGATGACGAATCCGCTTCAAACTGTCTGTGGCCGCCGTAGCGCATGCAGCGCTGAACGTGTGCGTTTCTGCTCGCTGACCAGTGGACGCTGAAGTGCTGCACTGCTATATAGCCGCGGCACAACATCTCTGTGTGATTCACTGCACGACTGTTGTTAACTAGGTCAGTTGCAGTGCTGTCTGTGGCTGCCGTAGCGCACGTAAAACTAGACGCTTGTTCACCTGCCCGCTGCCTACGGGATGCTTAAGCGCTGCATCGCTACGTGGACGCAGCACAGTGCCATGATGACTTCGCTGCAAACTGGGTGAGAACCAGTGTTGTGACTGAATTGTCTGACTATATAATATACTATAGGGTTAGAAATTGTGTGATAACAGAAAAGTGTGGCTTGCAAGGCCTTAGAGCAAATTTGCGATATATTGAAGATGTATCCATAGATGACATGAGGAGATCTAGATATATAAAATGTAAAAGGAACGAAAGGGGTGTGCCAGGTTTGTGTCAAATAGAAGTTCATACTCTTAGCCTACCCCTCGGGCAGGGTGACTGGCGTGAGACTATAAGCCAAGTATAAGGTGGTTCCCCACTAGATGGAGTGACAGCTTGGTGCAGGCAGCATAGGACTATATTTTGTGGAATTGAACATGGGGGAGGTCTATGTTAAGCAGTTGACTTGTGAGGAGCTTCAATGAAGACTAATAATGATGGAATGGTTGACAGTAGTGGCAGATCTACAGAATGGATTTTGCGAGCCCTTCCTCGAGTTTCTTTCTTATAAAACTGTTCATAATTTTTCTTGTAGACTGCTTGTGTGGTAATGGAGAAAGATGCTTGGTTGCCACTATATCGAGAGTGGACTTTAGAAGCTGCGTTGAGCCATGCTGCTATGCTGGCTCCGAAGCTAAAGCTGTACGCACGTTCCGGTTCCTCCAGGCTTCGTCAGTTGCTAGCTGATATGGGGTAAGTGGTATATGGTATACAGTCAAACGCACACAGTCTTGTAATGACGTTATTAAACGAGACAACCTTTATGTTGCAAGTCCCGTTTATTACTGTCTTAAGTTTATAATAGGTGTTACATTAGTGGATACCGTGAGCCACATTACAACAGTCTATCAAAAATCCACTGCTGAACATAGGCCTCCCTGTAGATTGCTTAATAGGGGGATACTTGCCTTAGTTTCTGTGCTTTACAGGCGGGTTAACATGGTTTTATGCGTGGTAGAGCCACGCTGCAGCTATATTAGTAGCACGAATGGGTCGGCTCGACCGGGGAAGGAACACGCTCTCACAGAATACCAGCGTAAAATAGCAGCTTAATACTGCTGTGTTTCGTATGGTGAGTGTATAGATCTGGAGACCTTTTTTACAAGAAACGAGACATTCCATCTTAGTCCTCAGTAATGGTGGTTAATATAGCGCATAGCGCCATATTATAGCGCGCTATCTCTTCATAGCTCATAGCACGTGCTATGTAAGTAGTCGCCATGTCGCTATTGCGCTATGGCGCTTTGGCGCTATTAAGTATTAATATCTAGCGGCAATTAGTTCTAGCAGCAGTGCTGTTGGGAGAGGACGTGTCACGCAAATTTGATCTCGTAGCGCGCTATTCATCGCGCGCGACCTAATTTAGTGTTAGACGTTGTTTAGTTAGTGTATACTATATATTTATAAGTGATCAAAGGACACAGTTGTGATAAAAGAAGCCTAACTAATGTTTTTAAAATAAAATAAGATACAAAGTGTATATAATAGTTATGTAAATAATTGATTTTTATAAATGCAATAAATAAACTTGTGGCCGTAGAAGGAAAAGGGGAGATCTCCCACCGGGCAAGATGTTCTGCCCGGGGAGCGGCCAACACTCCGTGTGATAGTTCGGAGATGTTCTATATATACTGTTTATGATTCGGAATATTGATAGCGTGATTTAGGCTTCGGTGTGTTTCGCTTGTGGCGCGACGACAGCGCCGCCACATCACCCCCTGCTCAGACCGGAGGTCGATAGTGCAGTCCGATTGCCGGTGTGTCCTTTTAATGCCGGTTGGGGAATGCATGCTGTGTACGTAAGGGCAAGTGACACCGGTGCGAATGTATGCCGATGTGTAATGCATGCCGTACTACGCACTGGCAAGTGATGCCGGTGAGAACGATGTGCCGGAGCAAGTGCCAGAAGTCTGCCTTATAAATCTGCGGTGAGTCGAGATGAAGACAAGTTGGACTGGCTTGCAATAACTGAAGACTGCAGAAGACGATTCTCAGTATTGAATGGTAGGGGTTCTTGAGGATAATGAAGGCTTGAAAGTTGTAGTTTCCGAAGGTTGTTGGTTGCGTGTTCAGATCACGTCGGGTGGTCACCACTGTGGCCGTGGAAGGAAAAGGGGAGATCTCCTACCGGGCAAGGTGTTCTGCCCGGGGAGCGGCCAACACTCCGTGTGATAGTTCGGAGATGTTCTATATATGCTGTTTATGATTCGGAATGTTGATAGCGTGATTTAGGCTTCGGTGTGTTTCGCTTGTGGCGCGACGACAGCGCCGCCACAAACTTTTAAATGCACCTTTAGTTGATTTATAATTTATATTAGGGTTAAAATAATGTTTACATCAATTATAATAAAAAATAATTTATTTTATTTCGATTCTAAAAATAAAAATAATTCTATTTAAAAAAATACATGACTTAAAAATATTTTTAGGATTATAGAAAGTAGTAAGCCTGAAAAGTATGAAAAAGCGTGCATTGGTTTTTCTTTACCGCTTTATTTTAGTCTAAAATGCCACTTATTACGAAATAATGTTCCTATATAGCACGCGATCTATCCAATGAATGACATGAAATGTAACGTGCTAAGTGATATAACAAAACTTAACGCGCTTAACGAAAGTACGCGCTTACGCGAGAAGTGAAAACTTGAATATTAACGTTGTGCATTTTTGATATTTTGGAATGGTTAGGGAATAATTTTGCACGAAATGCTTTAATTATCAGTATAAAAGTACTATAATTTATGTGGTCGAATACAATATTTATTTATTGCGCTATCGTACACAAACATGACAATTTATATTACATTAAAAAGTTTTTCTTTCAGAAAAATCAACTGCCATCCATAATTTCGACGACTTCTTACGAATTTTCGATCAGGTCACGTGGCCTGACGCGAGTTTAATATTTTTTACCCATTACAAAAAAGTGTACAACGCCGCTAAAGAAGTTTTCCCTTCAAAAATTGGAATAAAATACCATGAAATATACATGGAAATGAAGCAAGATTATGAATAGAAAAGCCGTGATAGCTCAGGGGCTAAGCGCTGTTTGCAACTGGAATTGAAACAGGCTATGGGTAACAGCATCTTTTTTATAATAACACAAAGTAATAAAAATAGGTTCACAAACCGTATGCCAAGCGTCAACTCTAGGAGGCAATATATCGGGGAGGCCTTTAAACAACATTCTACTTTGTTAAGCTGTAAAGATGATGATAATGATATACGTGGTAGAGTAGTAACATATATACGAGTTTATACGTGGTAGAGCCATGCTGCAGTTATATTAGTAGTATAGTTGTAGCACGAATGGGTCGGCTCGACCGGGGAAGGACCACGCTCTCACAGAATACCAGCATGAAATAGTAGCTTAATGCTGCTGTATTTCGTATGGTGAGTGTAGAGAACCGGAGACCCTTTTTACTGGAAATGAGGCATTCCATCTTAGTCCTCACGGGTGACAACGCATCTGCATTTTGATTTGTAATCGAGGATAGATGTAGATGTCTATGGGCCGCAGCAACCACTTACCATCTGGTGGACTGTGTGCTCGTTTGTCACCCTATCCTATAAAAAAATATATTCAAAAGTTAAATACCAAAAATATTTCAGCTGTGTATTACTATAGCATTTTTGTTGCAGTTTCCCTCTGCAGCAAGCCCGGCAAGCGTATCGCTCCATGGACGTAGAGCTGCGTAGGTCTCTGCTAACGGCTCTAGAGACAGCGGCTCCAAAACACAAGCTGCCCGTGCCCACGAAGGCTACGTTCATATTGCAGAGGCCGCACTTGCCTCCGCTCGCTGCTTTAGACACTGTTTACGTTATCATGGCGCATATAGAACATGTAAGTGTTATTAATTGATATGCTATTGTTATTTTTTAAATAGAAGTAATGGCATTTAATAAATAATAGCACTACATACAGAAGTTGCACTCTTTTGATGTTGACTGCTTGCCGAAGTTTTAATAGCATACATAAATATTATTAATTAGCTAAATCGTGCACGCAAGCTAAATAAAACTATCGCTGCGCGCGAGTGACCGTATTACTATGCATCTTTTGCCCTTCCTACTTCACGGCGGACTTTGCGTGGTTACTAAGGGCTGTTAATAAAGAGTAAAAAAATACTTTGCGAAAGAGTAAGTAAGTTACTTAGGTAAGGTACCTATTCTCATTATGATCGACTGAGTATATTTACGCTCCTATACAAGTTTTGTGATGCCCAACATGATGCTTGGCTCGGAAGAAATGGGTAGGTAGTGTAAACAACAAATAACCTGAAATACGATTAAAATTAGTAAGAATTGCTTAGTTTGAAGAGCGGTGTAGTAATCCCGTCACCATTAACCCCAGCACCACTACTCCCAACACCACCACACTGGAAAAGATACACTAGCGACGATAATACGACACGCGCTTCGCCTCTACACGAGGCATTCTCAGGCGATGTAGACTGCGGTGGTTGACTTAGCTTTCCAATACGGTTGACCCTTCAGGCAATCCCTGGAACTTCCCGCTAATTTCAAATGTAAGGTGCCCAAAATTACACTTAAGACGTTTTTAAAAAGCCACGTTTTTTATTTTAAGGAGTTTTAGGGTAGTGTTTCAGCCGATACGGGACGCGCCAAAGAAGAAAGTTCCCTAAATAGTGTTATAATATATAAGTAAGGTAATATTGCTATGGGCCAATGTTCTAATTTTGTAAGTCCTTGATGCCTGAAATAAAGTTATTGTATTCAATACGACCGAATCAATGTATTCGAAATCAATTAAATACGTATTATTAAAGATAACTCAAAAACTACTGGTCCGATCTTAATTAAATTTATATGGAATCACACGAGAAGCACCTTCATTCAGATAAAAAGAATCATCAAAATGAGTTCATCCAGAGAAAAGTTATGAATATGAGGTAACACACATAAAAAAACGTACAGTCGAATTGAATACCTCCTCTTTGAAGTTGGTAAAAACACAAACACATACAGGCAATGTCACATCCTCATATATACACGACTTTTATTTTATTTTTATTTATCTATAGAAATATATAACTCTTTCAAAACTTAAACCAATAACATCCCGATTTTTTGAAAATCATTGAAGTTTTGTAAATCATCGTTGATATACCTAGATTATACTCTTAAGTAGTATTTTTTTCATTAATGATTAATTAATTTTACAAGCATATCAATTTAAAGGATACGGCCATTAAAGGTTAGTAGTTTTTTTTATCCTTTTACAAATTACAAACAATTCATTCTGATCTTGTCTTCTGATTCATGGGAGGTGTAAGATGATCGTGATATGAAGCACCAAATGTTTAGTTGATTAATTCACACTGCACATTTAAATAAAACTAGTTTTTGTCGGGTAACGTAAACTTATTTTGTGTTCTCGACGTTTCGAGCATTTTGTAGCACCCATGGTTCACGTATCAATTTCTCTTTAATAAAAGTTTTATTTAAAAATATTTACTACAGTTGACACTGAATTTATATCTTTCTTTCACCTTTTTGCAGTGGTATTGAAAAAGGTGCTCAGGACTTTTATTAAAACATTCTACCTTTATTAAAACATTCATTCTAGATTTAAAATCAATATGCAGAAGTACTGTTTCCTTAAGGACTGAGATAATGTCTTGTAAACAGTAAAAAGGGTCCCCAGTTTTCATTCCTATCCATACTATAAACGCTACGCCGCTACCCAACGCCAAAAAGGGGGTATTATAAGTAACACAAACAACCAAATTGTTTAAATTTTATACGTGGTAGAGACACGGTATTATGGTTGTAGAACGAAAGGGTCGGTTCGACCGGGGAAGGACCATGCTCTCACAGAACACCAGCGTAAACTAGCAGCTTGATGCTGCGGTGTTTTGTATGGTGAGTGTAGAGAACCGGAGACCTGTTTTACTGGAAGCGAGGCATTCCATCTTAATCCTTAGGGGAGACAACGCATCTGCATTTTGATTTTCAATCTAGATTAAATGTATGTGTCTATGGGCCACAGCAACCACTTAACATCCGGTAGACTGTGTGCTCGTTTGTCACCCTAATTAGCCCAAAAACATTTTGCTTTTAGTATTCTATGTGAGCGTGGTTTTTGTTACTGCATAATATGCTGCAGCGTTACTTTCAATTATCTTGTTTGTCTCTCTAATATATTATTTTAATACTGATGCATTTCGTATGGTGTGTGTAGAAAACCGGACCATTTTTTACTGGTAAAAAGGCATTCCATCTTAGTCCTCAAGGGTTACAATGCATCTGCATTTTAATACTTAATCGAGGATAGAATGTAGATGCCTATGGGCTACAGTATCCACTTACCATCAGGTGGACTGTGTGCTCGTAAAGAAACACCGGCTGTTGGGTTTTTCTGGCTTTTTACAATAACTTTATTACTACATAAAAGCTATATGTTTTCCTAGGAGACAATGCCAAAAGCAGAAGGCTTCCAGCAAGCTCTGGCAGCACTGGAGGTGTCGGGAGACAACGAGGCGTGGCGCCGTGGCGCCGCTGCTGCTAGAAGATGTCTGCAAGCCGTCGCCAGTCTCGTTCACACCACGCTGTCTTCTAGAAGATTGATGTTGGCCGGACCATTCAGCTATTTTATAGTGCAAGAGGTATTATTTATTTTTAAATTATTGTGTGATAATTTTTATTTGTAAAATAATTCGTTCTATGTCTTATCACATGAATGCCTAGGTCAAGAAAATCTGAGACCATTTTGAAAATGCCACATTTTATAAAGACCTATACTCTGACAAGCAACGTAAACTTAAGATAGACTTTGAACTGAGATTACTAAGTCGCTAGCCAAGTGTCTGTTACGTCTCGTTCATCTGATAGTAAGTGGATGCTGTGGCATATAGGCATCTATTTATTTGTTTATTCATTCATAGAACACCAGCAGTGCACACATTATTACATTTTTATTGAAAGTAGGCTTAATCTAGGGGCTTGTGTGCCCTTATAGGTGACGCAGCATAACAAAATACTATAAAAATTAAGAAAGAGCGAAGTTACAATAGCTTATAAAGAAATATGTCGCAAAAATTATACCTAAAGGTAATATATAACTAAGACAATAAAAACATTCATAAAACCAGCTGTAAGGAACATGGATATATTATAATTAAATCATTCACAAATCATTTATAATAGTGATCTTTTACATTTTTCTCATATTTAGGGAAAATATCATGAAAAATATCGATAGTAGGCAACACACCACAGAGTGAATTAGAGGTGTCACACATTAGCGGTACCTGGGCGTATGCCTGGGTTTGGGAGTGTGTAAAAATTTTGTTATTCGGTGACGGGATATTAGGGAAGGTATTTCGAAAAATGCCAATCACTGTTCGTAGGGATACCTATGTGAAATTCCACTACATATGAAGGCAAAATATCTCTGAGTACGTAATTGTTTCATATTGTACCCGCATATTATTGTTGACTCCTTATTAAGGTATAAAAGAGTAAAATTTTAGTGCCTATTTGAAAGCCTCTGTTGTAACGTTTAAGGAAATCTACCCAGCTTTCTTTACAATCCCATTAATATGAGGAACGTAGGTGTGCTTCATATCCAACATAACACTTAGATCTCCCATTTTACCTACTTCTGCGAGCATGGTACCTTTAAAACTATAGGAAGTGCTGGGTTTCTTTTTCTTAGTAAACTTGATATAGAAACATTTTTAGGGATTTAACATCATATGGTTTGCCTACACCATTCCTTCAGTCGGTCAAGATCGTCTTGCAGAAGTAATGAGTCAAAATTAGATAATATGACTCGAGAGCTTCAGATCTACAAACAAAGAAACATAGGTTGCCTTTAGCCTACTCGTGACTACATTTATAAAGAGCGAGAACAATATTAGTCACAGATGGCAGTGGCGAAGCCTCCATAGAAGCCAAAAAGCCAGGCTTGCCCTTTCAAACTGCTCAATCAATCATATCAATAATAAAATAATTCATAAACTGTTTCAAACTATTTAAAATTTCCCGCGTGCTCCTCTGTTCTACACAGGTCATGACCTCGTATGTAACGTCAACACTTGGCAGTTTGCTTTCAATTCGAAATACACTGATTCGTGTTCTCTCTGTCTCAAAGAGAACACGCAATGGACAGTCAAAGTTAATGAAAGCAATGAGTTGATTTGAGCGATTAGTCGTCTCTCTCGCACGCGTGGGCTCTTTACCGGGCTTTCGAGAAGACAATCGCTCCCTTTCTAACCTGTGGCAAAATGTTCTAAAATGAAATATAACTACGAAATGTTTATATAGCAATTACTATGGAACCAAAAGCCGTGCTTTGCTCTGAAGTTGTTACTGAGTGCGTGGGCGCGCAGGCGATACGTTTGCAAGTTCATTTCACATTTCAATGTTTATGTTTGTTTTTGTTGTGTCTTGAAAATGTATGCGTTTTTAAAGATTTTTAGTGAAAATGAAGGAGTGTTCCTTTGATGAATTGAAGTGTGTTAAAGTGCTATTCGGCGAGGAAAGGGTAAAATCTTTAAACTATGTTGAGAAAATACACAAGGTCAAGAGCGTCTATTGGATCCAATTATCCCAATTGAAAAACAGTTATTGGTACAATTAAAACGTTCACCAACATTTTACGCGGTAGTAATCAAATTTTTCCTTAAGAAAGTGAGACCATTCAATTTAGAATATAAATAATTTGTTTTTTTTTAATGTATAGTGTTGTATGTAAATATCTTTTTCTTTCGCTCAAGCAAACCTAAACGGCTTTTTTCACAGCCACCGAAGCTATGCAATTGCTGATATGTCATACAATCTATCTAGCAGTAGTATGCCTTCTGTGTGCTTTGTTAAACACGTCCTCGACAGCACTGATAATGAAACTGCTAAAAACAACAAACCCATATCTTGGGCTTGCCCTAGTTTGGAGCCCTAGCTTCGCCACTGCCAGATGGGGACCCTGAGATACGCCAGATTCTGCGTAGCACGTTTGAGATTCATAAGCCCCTACCGCTACCAACTGTGTTCTTTTCTGTAGGTATGAAGGATGAGCTAAGCAAGTAATCACACACACAAACACACTAAACCAATAAAAAACGACGGCTTGCACTCCGGGAGTGCCGGCAGAAGTGAAAACTTGAATATTAACGTTGTGCATTTTTGATATTTTGGAATGATTAGGGAATAATTTTGCACGAATTGCTTTAATTATCACACACGAACATTCGCGCAAGCGCCCTGCGCGGCCTAAACGAAACAGCAGGCGCAGGCATACATTTTCGCCGCGCCGTAGGAAGAGAGGGGGATACTTCCTCTCCTACGCCGCGCCGGCTGTCTCTCTCTCTCTCCATCCGTCTTACGAATTTTCGATCAGGATCACGTGTCCTGACACGATTTTAACATTTTTTAACCATTACAAAAAGTGTACAACGCCGCTAAAGAAGCTTTCACTTCAAAAATTATATTAGTAATCTTATGTAAACTGATTTTATAAGTAATCATAAACATTAACACTTCGTATTTGTAACTAATACTTACCTTGTAGTCATATAATACGGAAGGGCGATAACTTCCTAATATTTAATTCAAGTATTTATATACTTAAAAGGAATGTTATCAAACTTTGTTGGTAAACCTGAAATGTTACAGAAATAAAGCATTTTGATTTTGAAAAAAAAAATAATTCTTGTGGCTTCAAGTTTGCTCAGTAACAGGGCATGGCTTACGTTATCAAAGGCGATGGAACAGTATAAATGACGTCCAGTTGGCATCCCTTATCAATCTCATGCGATATGTGCGAAATAAATGAGGTGAGGTTCGTTTCGGTAGAACGGCTTTTTCGAAAACAAACATAAATACATACATAAACACTCACGCCTGTCACCCAGAAAGGTAGGCAGACAACGGACTTCCATTTGGCACGATCCTGACATATCTCTTTCGCCTCCTTTACATCCATATATCTACGCATATATGCTCGTCGGTTAGGGTACTTCTAACGTGGCCCATTTTCAAAATATCGCCAATTTGGTCGATAAACTTTCTTCTAGGGCGTCCCTTCCCAAATCTGCCGTTCACATCTGCCATATAAATTTGCCTTTTTTTAACTGCCTCGTTGGTCTAGTGGTTGTACTTGTGCGACTGCTGATCGTGAGGTCCTGGGTTAGAATCCCGGGTCGGGCGAAAAAATCATTTATTGAGTTTTTCTGTCAAGAAATTTTTAGTAGCTGCCCGGAGTCAGGAAGTTGGCGGTGTCACACTCCCGTGCCTCGGAAAGCACGTAAAGCCGTTGGTCCTGCGCCTGATCTGGTCGTGTCGGTTTACCGTCCCATCGGATTACGAGAGTGAGGGAATAGAGAGTGCACCTGTGCTTGCGCATACACTTGTGCACTATAATCCTGTCCTGCGCCGATGGGTAGCTTCAGTTGAAGCAGGCCGCCGTGGCCGAAATTCGGTCTGGAGGACATTATAATTTTGCTTTGTCACTCTTTCCTCATTCATTCTTTCTACATGACCAAACCAAACCAAACGAAATCAAACATAATTGAAATAGGCCATTAGCACTAATAAAATTTATTAAAGCGCAGCTTAATTGTTTATGTAGTTGTTAGGCCCTATAAAATTACAATTTCTTTGATTGGATCAAGAGGTATGGCCTAGGTTAAAATAATCTATTATGACATCATGTACATAATTAAAAATATTACTACTACTACTGTCTAAAATTATGAGAGTAAATCTAAGTTGACTGGAGGAAGAATGTAGACATCACTGAAAGCAATTTTACAAATAGTGTTATTAGAGTTAATATTAAGGATATATACCATAGATCTTCACAGTCAGATTTCCAACTTGGAATTCGATTGGACTGAATGTCATTGGGTACTGTGAGTGTGATCATTGCTGTATTGTTATCAGACTTATGATTAGAAGTAGAGCACTCACTCTATATTAAATAGAGTATCTATTATGTATGAATTCATTATTATTAACATTTGTATTTAGCCAGGTATCTGTAAATACAAGGACTTTTTGTCTGTGGAATATTTAACAAAACATTATTTGTTTTGTTTCTAAGGCATCTTAAATTTTGATAATATATTCATAAGAATATTTCTGTAGGTTGCTTATACATTGAAAATAAGAAAAAAGCTATTTCATGTTGTTTAGGCAGTCCACATTCCGAATAAGTAAAGTCTGCATACAATTATCCTTGATTAAGAATCAATCAAATGCAGATGTGTCAACCCTGAGAATAAAAAGTGAATGCATTGTTACAAGTAAAAATTGTCTCCGATTCTCTACGATTACCACAGGAAACACAAGAGTTTTAATATGCTATTTTACGCTGGTGTTCTGTGCTCGCGTGGTCCTACCCAGGTCAAACGGGCCCATTTGTGCTACAAGTAAAGTTGGGCGTTATAACATAATATAACAGATAATATATTACATTATATATTTGTAATCTTACAACACATTGGAATAATGAACCATTGACTGTTACAATATATTCATTATCGTTAGAAAACGTCATCTGTTTATGTTTACGGTCCAACCGTCGGCCGAGACGCGGCACCTCACTGGGAGTCAATAAAATACTACATTCATTATGCCGAACAAGATTGCGTATAGCTTACACTAATTTAAACTCTAAGCTAACTTAATAAGAGCTTATTTTAGGTTTAGGTTTAAGATATTATTTATTTCTCAAAAGATTACAAATCGCTTACGACAAATAAAAAATTTACAAACAATAATAAAGGAATCCATTACAAGCATACAGAATATTAACTATAGATGTGGGTAAAACGTAAACAATTAAAAGAACAGTAAACATTTAGACGGAACAATTAATGCAACCGAAACAGAAATAAGGGTGCGTAAAACTAAGTTGGATTTAATTTTAGCTTGTATTTTTTTTTGGTTAATTTTTCAAAATATGGCATTTCAATAAGTTTCTAAATAAAGATAATGTTTTTGATTCTTTTATATTTTTAGGTAAAGCGTTATACAGTTTTGCACCATCAAACATTATATTTTTCTTACCATACTCTGTTCTAACTTTTTGTATGTATATATTATATCATGGGCACGTCTAAGGTTACGATTGTGAAAATATTTTTTTTTCAAACCGTATTTGCGAATGAATGTCGTTTTTATCGTGTCGTTTAATTATAACACTTGCATATTAATACAAGTGTTATCAATATAACACTTGTATTAATATGCAAGTGTTATATTGATATATTTGTGATATATTTAATAATTTGGTTTCTTTATATATAATATTAGACGGTGTCAAATATTTATAATGAAAAAGTACCTTGATTAATTTGTTTTGGGTAGTTTGTAGTCTACGTAAATTTGTTTTGTGTGCTGTTTGTTCCCCATATCTCGATTAAATTTTACTAACACTAAATTATAACGGTAAACAAAAATATATTATTTCTTTCATTGCTAGCTGTTGCCTGTTGTGCCTGTTATTTAATTTTTTGGTTGTTGTAATATATTAGTGTTCAGTTAGCTATCTATCTGAGATGACAATGACACCGTTATCTGTTAAATTATATACGTAATGTTTTGATAGCAGGTCCCCATATTACGTGAAAAAGCTATTGTTGTTTTTGTTTATTTTTTTTAAGTTTTATTCCTAAACTAATTTTCAATATTTAGTGTAATATAGATAGGATTTAGCGTGTTGTATGTAAAAGTATATAATAATGTCGCGTCAGCGTAGCGCAGCCATTTGGAACTATTTTAAGTCTAAGTCCAGTGTGGATAAAAAAAAAGCAGTGTTCAATTAAAAAAAACTTTATCTTTCAAAAGTACAATTACAAATTTATAGCTTCACCTTAACCGCTCGATTGCTTGCGTAAAAAAAATTGGTAGCATACTTTGCCAGTAAGTCAGGACTGTGTTTCTTACGTTCGACCCGCCGTCAACAAAACTTAATTTATGACTTACTCGAGAGGAGCACTTCAAATATTTTAAATTTTATGAATAGCCATTGAAATAAGAAAAGAAAATACGTGTGTTATTCTCTCAGAATATGATTACAGTAATGTTTTAGAGGTGTTGAAATCACAAGTACAAGCCATTTTGGCGACTTTTTGTAAAACATCGAGTTTATCAAAAAAATAAGATGGGTAAATGTATTATTATTTACTATATCCTTAAATTTAATGAATTACTTGATATATTTATCTATATTATAAAACGATTTATATTTAAATACATAGTAAAAATCTTAAGTGAAACCTGATGAAGAATTCACGGATTGCGCAATCGATCGCTCTTTGTTAGTTAAAATCTAGGCTGTTATTACATAAAAACTTACATTATAATATAATGAACAATTTATAAAACTTTATAACTCAAATTGAATAATTATATTCAAATACCACTACGACTATTTCCTATTTAAAGAATACAACATAATACCGATAATGTAAGCTATAGAAAATTATGTTTAGATTCGCGTCATTCTGAGTATTTTTAAAAGTCGAATTTACCACATTTTCATACAGTATTTGCAAAAACATATAAAACACTAATAAGACATTAATGTGATATATAAATACTAGCAAAAATCAATAAAATTCAATACTCACGGCATATTTTATCACCTCGTTAAATCCACTCAAGCGTCACTTCACTCACCAAACTTTAACTAACAAAGTTTCGATATTTTTCGTCCAAGAGGTTGGTAATTTTGATCCAAATCTATGATTTATATCTTTGTTTTTGGTTTTAATACGTAATAGTTAGACTCTGTGAGTTTAAAATACGGTCTAAATTCAATTAAAAGAACTTCGTCGCTTTGCAACCACAGTTGCAAAGAGCAAAGTTAAGGATTCTGTTTTTGCAACTGTGGTTGCAAGAAGCAAACGAGCGGTTAAGCAAAGACACGTAGGAGTGTATGAATAGTTTTGCCGTTCGGATTTAATATCGGATAGACTCACAAGGCTTACGTCGTCAAAAGTAAACCAAATAATGTTTTTGAATAGTAACTGAAAAAAAATGTAAATATTGCAGATAACTAAAACTTTGACCACAGTGTAAGTAATGTAAAAATTCAATCAAAATGTACATAACATCAATAAGCTTTTAACTACGCCTGAGTGAGTTATTTTTCTTAAAATGTTTGAAAATATGAGTAAATAATTATAACAGATACAATAATTACACAGCTTAACATACATTCAGACAGTCCTAAGCCTGTAAAAAGTAGGAAGGGAAGTTCATTAAACTTAACATACATATTTTAAATGATTCTCTTTTAAGACATGAAACACTCAAATGATGCTAATACAACTTAAAAATATTTTTTTTTCGTCTTCATATAATACTTGTAATCGTTTAATATTTATAATATTTATAATCGTAATAATCTTTCATCATAATATTTATAATCGTTATAACAACATACAACAACAACTAACACAGCCAACAACTGAACTGAACTAACCGCGTGTACAATGTAATAAATGAAACTGTTATAATATATTATAACAGTTTAAAACAACAGTTAGAAAAATATATTACAACAACATAACGAATTAGAAAAATATAACAGTTTCGCCCACCTTTAGCTACAAGCATAATATTTACTTTTGTTCATCCTCCAGATGTTCCATGTAGATCAAATACTAGAACACTGTTAAGATTTCCGTCTTTCAATACAATGCTCTATTGTCATTCTTCTACTGTTAACGCAGTACGATTGTGGAATTCACTTCCCTTTAAGATTCGTGACGCTAAGTCGGTGTCTATGTCGTAATTCGTGTAGTGTAGGTATTCATATATGTAACATTAAAAATCTAATATATTGATATATTTTTTGTTATAATATATATTTGTATATATATATATATATATATATATATATATATATATATATATATATATATATATGTGTGTGTGTGTGTATGTATGTATATGTATGTGTGTATATATGGAGGTTTGAACATTTGTATTGTATATGTATATTTTAATAAAGTGCACACTTTGACTACCTCTATTTCCTTCAACTATCCTTCAATAGGACTGCGGGAAGAAATTTCACTATGGAATAAGCATTGCCTTTGTACATAATTTTGTTTTTACCATTTTCCTATCGAAGTATGTGTGTACATAAACTGGTAAATAAACAAATAGCTGCAGCATTTAAACTGAACTGGTACTAGTGTACATAGTAGTTAGATGATTGAATAAAGTTGTAACATGGTGGTTGTGTGCAGGGTACTCCTGAAGCCAGTGTAGTGCGCGGGCCGCTGTGGCTGGGCGAGGCGGCGCGCTGGGCGGCCGGCGGCGCCGCGCGCCCGCTGCTGGCCAGCGCGCCCGCCCCCCCGCGCCCGCCGCCCCCCCGCGCCCGCCTGCCTGCTGCTGGGCCTGCCGCCGCGCTTCGACCACGAGCCCAGGAAGTACGCCCACTCTTGCAAATAACCACACACTCTTGAAAACACATTCATTCCTGAATAAAACTAAATTTACGGATTTATCGCGTTTAATTAACTACTTTTACTTATTTTTAATTTCCGACGTTTAGGGTGCTTTACAACACTCATGGTCACGGGGGGACTGATATGTTTGACGTCCTAACTTTGTATAAAAAGGGTTATTATAATATTAAGGAATTTATGGATGATAATAACCCCTGGGAAGGGTGATCGCTACCAAGCTATTTCTGATTTGTCTTTTGTTGTTAATTGTAAACATGATTGTAAGCTATTATTGAAAAAAAAATAGTCCCGTTGGGTTTCTTGCTGGTTCTTCCCAGGAGAGAGGTTTTTTGCGACGCAGTGGTGAATGAAAAAAGCGACTTTCAATAAGTATTGTTATAATCTACATTGAATAAAAAAGTTTCTGTTTCTGTCTCAATGTCATAGTTAGCCCGGCTACCTTCAGTTTTTAAATATTAATTTTTCGGTCCGGTCTACGCAGAACGAGCTTACAGTATCTTGAAGTCTTGCAGTGGTATGCTTGGGTTTGGGTTTAATTTTGTTAATTATAGGATCCCAAGCAGATGGCAGTATCCATCCATCTTCTCTATTGAAATTTGGATGTTTTTTAATTTCAATAGCCTCGCGTATCATCCTTGGTAGGAATCAGTGTTCATTTGCGAGGATTTGTGGTTTATCAAATCTGATGTAATGTTGGGGACGATCTTGAACATGTTCACAGCCTGCAGACTTCCCGGAGCGTCTGTGCTTCACGTCAGCTATATGTTCTTTCACGCAGGTTTTTATGACTAACTATGACATTGGGACGTCAAACATTTCAGTCTCCGTGACCATGGGTGTTGTAAAGCACCCGAAACGTCGGGAATTAAAAATAAGTAAAAGTAGTAAATTAAACGCGATAAAATCAGTAAATTTAGTTTTATTCAATGTGTAGTGTTCACGTAAATTTAAAAAATCATCATTCATTGCTTTTATTATTTACAAATAAACTGAACAATGCTTGGTTATTAAAATATCTCTCGAAATTCACTAATAACGCTTGTTGTTTTTTTAATTTATAGATTATAGGTGACCAACGAGCACACAGTCCACCTGATGGTAAGTGGATGCTGTGACCCATAGACATCTACATTTATCCTCGATTAACAATTAAAATACAGATGCGTTGTCACCCCCAAAAACTACGATAGAATGCCCCGTTTCTAGTTATATAGGTCGACGGTTCTCACCATATAAAACACAACGGTACTAAGCTGCTCCCTTAACGTTGGTATTCTGTAAAAACATGGTCCTACCCTTATCAAACACCCCAATATTACTATCAACCAACCAGTCACCTTAAAGCACCCTAGTCGAAAGACTACTTATATATATTTAGAAAGTCATTCATTCATTCATCATCATTACAGCCCTTCACAAGTCAACATAGGCCTCCCCCAAGTAATGCCACAAACCACGGTCCTGAGCCACCTGCATCCATCGACTTCCTGCATGTCTTACCAGGTCGTCACTCCATCTAGTGGGGGGTCGCCCTACACTACGCCTACCGGTACGAGGCTGCCATTCGAGAACCTTTCTTCCCCATCGGTTATCGGTTCTTCGAGCTATATGGCCGGCCCATTGCCACTTCAGCTTACTAATCCGTTGGGCTATGTCGGTCACTCTGGTTTTACTGCGGATATCCTCATTTCTGAGTCTATCACGCAGAGAAACTCCGAGCATAGCCCTCTCTATAGCTCGCTGAGCGACCTTGAGCGTCCTCATACGGCCAGCAGTGAAGGACCACGTCTCTGATCCGTAAGATCAGCAACACGCACTGGTTGTAAACTTTAGTTTTCAGAGATCGAGGTATACCTGACGAGAAGATGTGTCGTAATTTCTCGAACGCTGCCCAGCCGAGTTGAATCCATCGATTAACCTCTCGGTCGAAGTTGGACTTACCTAGTCGGACTATTTGTTACAGGTAAACGTACTCGTCAACAACTTCGAGCATAGTGCTCCCCTCAACTACCGGCATAGGTGTGACATGGACATTAAACATGATCTTTGTTTTGTCCATGTTCATCTTAAGATCTATCCGTTTTATCCGAGACACCATTGAGGTCATTGAGCATAGTGCTTAAGTCCTCCAGCGATTCTGCCATAAGGACTATATCGTCGGCAAATCGAAGGTGAGTGATGTACTCGCCATTGATGTTAATACCGTATCCTTTCCAGCCCAGTAGATCGAAAACGTCTTCCAACGCAGCGGTGAAGAGATTCGGGGATATAACGTCACCCTGTCTTACACCTCTCTGCAGTTGGATAGGTTTCGAACTCTGGTTCTGTACTCGGATAGCCATCGTAGCCCTACTGTACAAACACTTCAGCACTTCGATATACCGACAGTCAACTTGGCACCGCTGAAGGGACTGTAGCACCGTTCAAATTTCGACGGAATCAAAGGCTTTCTCATAGTCCACATACGCCAGGCAAAATGGCAGATTGTACTCCTCGGTCTTCTGTACAATCTGCCGCAGGGTATGTATGTGGTCTATGGTACTGAAGCCTTTTCGGAAACCGGCTTGTTCGGGAGGCTGGAAGTCGTCGAGTCTGCGTGCGAGACGATTCGTAATGACTCTCGAAAACAGCACGTAGACGCGGCTCAGAAGGGAAATCGGTCTGTAGTTCTTCAAGAGAGCGTTGTCGCCTTTCTTAAAGAACAAGACCACCCGCGCTTCTGCTCCACGCCTCCGGAGTAGTGCCACCATGGAGGACGGAATTGAAGAGCTTCTGAAGGACTTCAAGTACCGGTGTTCCACCCGCTTTCAGAAGCTCCGCTGTAATTCCAACCTCGCCTGGGGCCCTGCCGTTTTTAAGGTGCTGGAGAGCCATTCTAATCTCGCTCCGACTGACGTCCGGGATATCATCGGAATAGTGTCGGGTAAGACTTGCTCTTGGATCGTCACTCACACTTGCGTGTGGCTCCAACGATGATGTGTACAGCTGCCCATAGAACCTCTCAATCTCACTCAAAATCTCAGGTGTCTCGGAAACGATGCTGCCACACTCAGTCATCGGCCTTGACAGTTGGCTCTATCTGGCAGACAGATCTCTGGCAAAGACTTTGGAGCCCTGGTTCCGCTCGATCGCTTCTTTAATACGAGCAGTATTAAAGTTGCGTAAGTCTCGCCGCATGCATTTGGAGATCTGTCTGTTCAGTTGCCTGTATACTGTCAAATCTGTTGACGATTACAGCCTCATCTCCCGTCTAACAGCCATGAGATTAAGAGTGTGATCGGAGAGTTTTTGTGTTCTTCTGCGGCGGGTCTTGCAGAACTTAGCTCCGACCGCATGGACAGTTTCCACGAGCTTATCATTCATATCGTCCACTGCATTGCAATCTTCTAGGCACTGAAAGCGGTTACGTAACTCTAGCTGAAAAGTCTCGGGATTCTGGATTAGAGCACGAGGGGGACGGAGCGTTGACTTCATTAGACGAGACCTCTCCAACTTAACGTTTAGGTTCAGTGTGCCTCTAACCATTCGGTGATCGCTGCCAGTTTTCACCCTTGCGATCACTGAGACATCACTGAACAGTTGGCGTCTGGTCGTCATAATGAAGTCAATCTCATTTTTTGTCGAACCGTCGGGGCTCGACCAGGTCCACTTCCTGTGGGGCCGCTTCTGGAAGAAAGAGTTCATCATAAAGAGTCCCCCTTTCTCCATAAAGTCAGCCAGCTGCTATCCCCTACGGATCCGTTGCCCTACTCCAAATTTCCCTAACTTCAGCTCACCGCTTTCTCTTGTGCCTAGTTTTGCATTGAAGTCTCCCATCAACACCGTGTAGTGGGTTTTGGACGAATGCATGGCTCTAGAAATATCTTCATACATTTCCTCCACCTCCTCATCGGGATGAGCCGAGGTTGGTGCGTAGACCTGTATGACCTTCAGCGAATACCGTTTGGTGATTCTGAGTATCAGGTACGCGACCCTCGTCGACACACTCCCAATCTTTACAACGTTGTTGACGAGAGACTTGTGGGCGATAAATGTGACATCTCCTTGGGACAGATGGTCGCCCTCCCGGTGATTGAACAAGTTGCCGGACTCGAGGATTACCTTGTCCTCCCCCTTTCTTCGGACCTCAGATAATCCAATAATATGCCAGGGCAACTTGTCTACCTCTTCTTCCAGCTCCAGTATCTTCTCGTCAGTCCTCAGGGTGCGTGCGTTATACGTTGCCAGGTCGAGTCATCGTAGGTGGCAACCGAACCTTCACCGGAGATTCTTAGCACCCCCTGTGCCATTCATTCATTACATCTAGTCAAAAGATTACCGTGTAACGACGGTGTAACAACGTCAACTACCATATATCATCCCGTGGGTGTCGTAAGAGGCAACAGGGCTAAACAAATCAGGAGATGGACAACAACATCTTCCTAATTACAACTATAAATAAAAATAAACAACAGTTGCCAACTAAGTGTGGCAACTATGACTGATATTTCCCCTATGAAGCAATCTACGGAAGAGGCAAGCCCGCTTGGCAAGGTGGCAACTATGGCTATTTGCCATAGTTGCCACCTTGCCAAGCGGGTTGACAACCACAGTTTTTTATTCTCAGATATTATTAGGCAAACGCTGCTGCCCTTCACCTGATTTAGTCCCCACTATCAACTCTAAAGCCTTTAGTAAACCTTTTACACGAAGCCAGTAACGCTGGCGCCAGTCCTCAGACAAGCCAGCGCTGGCCTGACCCGTGTTGTTTAGATGACGCCAAATGGATTCATTTCATTCTTAGATTATTCTTGTGAATTGTTGTATTAAATTAATGATTTTTTAAAATAACTGAAAAATAATGTTTATCATATACCTACATACATCAAACCTAAATTTGTACAATGTCACTAGTAAAGTTTTTATATTACAAATTATTTATTCTGGCGCGGGGGTTGCGGGGCACGTGGACGGAAACTCATGTTACAATAGAAACGCGGCTTGAAAGATAGGCAGGT